GATTTAATGAGGTGTCTGCAAAGTTCTTAGCACATTGGTTGGCAATGAATAAACAATCAACCTTGTAATTATTATACTTCCCTGGGATGTATAAACATTAACTTTCTATCAGAAGGAACATAGAGATGACCCCATGTTAGCAGCCAGTGCCTTTTAGTTTCTTAGGGAGATACATTCTTCTACTTCTCTACCTTCCTAACTATAAGCTTTAAATGTCTTTTTTTGGTAAGTTAGTGGACTATGTCAGGGCCCTTAGATATTTTCAAAGCTTATATTTTTAGAGTCTTATTTTCAAAAAGCAAAATAGTGAATTAAAAAAAAACAGAAGAGGACCAAAAGATATTTGAAACAATATTTGGCAGTTTGGTCATCAAAAACAGCAATGTATTTGATTCATTTCTGAGATGGGAGAATAAATGCCATTTAGTGATGTCTGTATGCATTTGTTCTCCAGAAAAATCACACAAAAACCTTGGAACTCAACTCTGTAGGGTGCCACCAACCATCTCACTTCATCACTTCTGGAAAAGTTTGCAATGCTGCCTCCTAAATGACAAACATGAAAGACTAGATGGCATAGCCCTGGCCAGTGTGGCTCATTTGGTTGGAGCATCATCCCATACACCAAATGGTCACAGGTTCTATTCCTGGTCAGGGCACATACCTGGGTTTCGAGTTCAATCCCCAGGAAGGAACCAATAGATGTCTCTTGCATCGATGTTTCTCTCACCCTTTCCTTTCCTCTCTAAAATCAATTTTTAAAAAAACCCCGTATCTTTGGATGAAGATTAAAAAAGAAGCAACAACAAAAAATCCCAGATGGCATACAAAAAAGTTCCACGGAGTGATAAGAACAATTCCTACTATTTTGAGCCCTGCAAAAAGAACTACAGCTACCTCAAATTATGATGAAATGTTAACTGAAGTATAATGTATGAACATACATATTTATACTCCCATCTATTTCTTCAAATGATTTTAAAGTGGCTCATAATAAAGGACTTTCAATTAAACAATAAAATTGGAATAGAATAATATATGTAGGAATCAATTTTGAGGAAGTGGCATGATTAATGTAATTTGCATAAAATTTTGTTCTAAACTTCCTCGAAGCCCAAGCAAAAAGGGACTCTCATTATTGGGGTGGGGGAGTAGTGGGGAGACATAATGCAAGGTGTTAGAATTGAAAACTGGAGAAAACATGGAGCTACTGATGACTGCCTGGTGCTCTGCTGGACCTTCTCCACAGGTAAGTCCTGGAAGGTCAAGTAAAGCCCCCTGGATGCTGACTCCCAAACAGTCCCACACAGACATCCAAAGACAAATAAAAAGTCATGTGCAGCTACTCACTGAAATGCCCACACAACAAATTTGTCCATTTAGTTCACAGGTTATTTTGGGGTTTGGGGGACTGAAATGAATTGACCAATTAATTTTATAATGATCAGAACTCGCCTGTATCACTTTGGCTGACTGTATGTAACAGGAACACAATTTATCCAAATAGTCTTACCCCCCTCCCCACAAGAAATGGTTTATTTTTTTTTCATGGAAAAATATCTGGAGTGGGACAGAGGATGGGGTCAGGCAGCTTCAGGAACACAACAGGAATGAATCCAAGCCCTTTCTTGCTTCTCTTTCCACCATCCTTAGTGCATGGCTTGTTTTCTCATATTTCAAAGATGGATACTTTATCTCTGGGTATATATCTGTGTTCTAGGTAGAAAGCAGTAAGAGGACAAAGGGTTAAGAATAAAGGGGGGTGGGGAGGAAAGATGTATGAATTGTTGAACAAGCTTTCCAAGAGACTCATGTTCCATGTTTCTCATTAGCCCAAACTTGGTCGCATGGCCAATTCTAGCAGCAATGAAACCTGGAGAAGTGAATGATTTTTAACTAGATAGCGCGATATCCTAAACAAAATTGGGCTTTTGTTGGTAAAGAAGGAAGAAAAAAATCGATATTGGATGCACAGTTAACAATATTTGCCATACAACTTTTGGCATCCTTACCTTAAAAAAATAAAGTAAGGCATATCAATTTCTTTCTTCTCATACCTTCCCTGAGTTTTAGAAGGGGAGGACATGTGTATGGGTATGTATGTGTAGAAGATTTCTGAATCATATTTTAAAAATATATTTTGTATTGATTTCAGAGAAGGAGGGAGAGGGGAAGAGAGATAGGAACATCAATGATGAGAATCATTGTTTTGCTGCCTCCTGCTTGCTCACTATTAGGGATCGAGTCTGCAACCCAGGCATGTGCCCTGATTAGGAATCGAACCAGTGATCTCCTGGTTCATAGGTTGATGCTCAACCACTGAGCCATACCCGCCAGGCCCAGCACCCATTTTTAATAAAAACTCTCAGCAAAGTGGATATTTTAAAAATATATTTTGTATTGATTTCAGAGAAGGAGGGAGAGGGGAAGAGAGATAGGAACATCAATGATGAGAATCATTGTTTTGCTGCCTCCTGCTTGCTCACTATTAGGGATCGAGTCTGCAACCCAGGCATGTGCCCTGATTAGGAATCGAACCAGTGATCTCCTGGTTCATAGGTTGATGCTCAACCACTGAGCCATACCCGCCAGGCCCAGCACCCATTTTTAATAAAAACTCTCAGCAAAGTGGGAATAGAGGGATTATACCTCAATATAAAAAAGGCCATATATGACAAACCTACAGCCAATTATCATACTTAGTGGGCAAAAACTAAAACCATTTCCCCTAAGAACAGGAAGACAACAGGGACATCTGCTTTCACTACTCATATTCAACATAGTACTGGAAGTGCTAGACACAGTAATCAGATAAGATTACTTTAAAACTTTCTCTTCCAAATGTCCTCATGACACAGTCACCTTTCCTTCTCCACTAGATGCTGCTCTGCACCCACCTAAGACAACCACCATCCCCGGTTCCTTGGTTGCAGTGTGGATGAGACAGAGGTGATGTACTCCTCATTTTCTAGAGGTGATGAGGACTGACTGCTTACAGGGCTCACTGACATTAACTTCAATAGCTATAACTGGTCAAGCACTCAGCATGTGCCTCAAGCACTGTGGGCGGGTTGTCATGTGTCCACTCCCCTGGGAATCTTGAGGGCAGTACCCACATGTCCCCAGAACCTAGCTCAGAGTTTGGCTCAGAGCATGACCTCAGTTAATGCTGGTGAATAAGTGAGCAAACTGCTGCAGGTTATGCACCAAGCACTTAAGATGACTGCAGCTAAAATACCTTATTCTTAGAAATGAAAACAAAAACTTAGCCATCCTTTTTAGTACATATTGCCAGCCAATTTTCCAGATGGAAATCCTTAATCTGACCTCAAACTCATATCCAAAAATCGGTTCCAGGTTTACTTGGTATTGTGAATATAATTTTTCAAGGTTAACAATAAACTTATAGAATAAAAGAAAGGAGAATGTTTTCATGATGTTTGGGGTATGCAAAGATTGCATAACTAGGATAAACTGTGCTAACCATGAAAAAAATCAACTACTTTAATATGAAAAACTTTCTGTTCATCAAAAGATACAATTAAGAGAATGAAAAGATAAGCCACGTAGTGGAAAAAGGTTTTTGCATACACATATCCAACAAAGGATTTGTGTCTATGGGGAAAAAAACACAAGAGAAAATGGGCAAAAGATGTGAATAGACTTTTCACACACAAAAGGGGACATCTGTAATACTTTCAATAATAAAGATAAATTTTAAAAAATACTTATGTGCTCAACCCCATTAGTCTTCAATGAAATGCAATTTAACAACCCAGTGTGATACTACGACACATCACCAGTATGCCAAAAATGAAAATAGTCAATATCTAGTGCTGCTGAGGATGGTTGGATAAATGGATATAATGCCCTGAACAACTATGTTCGTATTTCCTAAAACAGGACTCCAGTTTCCCCTCTATATCGTCCCAACACAAACACACACAAACTGGAATATTCATAGCAGTAGCACCACTATCCTAATAGCCTCAGATTTAAAACTGTCCAAATACCCATCAATAGCCACTGGATAAAGTGTGGCATAGTCACACAGTGGCCACCACACAGCACTGAGAATGACCAAAGTACACCTGCATGCAACCATGTGGATGAATCTCACAAAGGAGTAAATAAAATCAACACCAAAGAGCATCACTGCTTGCCAGATACAGGTCCCCCACTTATCACAGGGGATACTTTCCAAGACCCCCAAGGGTGCCTGAAACTGTGGACAGTACTTAGCACTATACTGGTATGTATTACGTTATTCCTATGCATGCATACCTATGATAAACTTAAGGTATCCTTTTGGTATAACTGAATTGCCAGCATCACTATTCCTGAATTTTGGGGCCATTATTAAGGAAAATAAGAGTTACTTGAACACAGAGACTGCAAACCACAACTATCTCTGGGGTGGGGAATCTTTTTTCGGCCAAGAGCCATTTGGATATGTATAACATCATATCCAACAGGCCATAAAGTGCCAGAGGGAAGCCGGTGCCGGCAGCCGAGGGAAGGAAGGCCTACTCTTGCATGAATTTTGTGCACCAGGCCTCTAGTATATAATAAAAAATGTTTTCTGGAAGTTTGCCACAACAGAAAGTCCTAAACAACTCAACAATCCAAGTTCAAGGCCAGCCTTGTTTAACCTGGTGATATATTTCCCTTTGGAATTCAGAGCATGAACTTGCTTATAACAAACATAAATAGCAGCAACACACAAAACTGTGACAAATTTTAACATTGCCCCAAACAAGCACTTTCTGGAGTCACACACTGTACCAGTGTCAATGATATGAAATGAAGCAGGGTCAACATGGTGGAGAGTGATGGCAGTAATGTATGAAAATACAAGAGCAACAGCCGTCCAAATGACAAGGGCCGAAGGAAGGAAACTGAGTCCTTGCTGAATCCAAGGTCTCAAACAGGTCTTACCTGCTCATTTGGTTTTATCCTCCTTACTCAACTTTAAGTTCTGTGAGAGCAGGAACCAACACTTTGGTTCATCATTATATTCCCAGCTCCTGTTTTCGTATCAGTCTTCAAATATGCCCAAACCTGCTCCTTTTGTAGATCCTTGCTTGGATGCACTTGCCAAAGCAGACCATTGGATCCTGAGCCTCCAGGGTGGAGAGAGATGGGGCAGACCCTGGGGTGCACCACCTGGCATATTCTAATAAAATGATCAATAGAGCAAGACACGAATGACAACAGACCTGATCCTGAAATGAGGATAACCAACAGTCCCAGTTTGCCTGTGAAGGTAGAGTCCCCTGACTTGAGACTTCAAGTGCTAAAAAGTCCTTAGCAAACTGGAAAAATTAATCTTCCTACTTAAAATGGCACAAGTTGGTCAGACCCTCGCAAATGGAATAGAGCCTCCCCACCAGCTCATCTGGCCCTCTTTGGCCGCTTTACCACACTAAAGCCAAGGGTTCTTTTGAATAAAAAATGATGTCCTTCAGTTCCAGGGGCTGAAAATCCTCCAACAATTCCCCAGTGTTCCACTTACCAGTCCATTGGATGGTACCAACTAGACAGGCACATCAACTAGAGCCAAATTATTCAAGGTTATTACAAGAGGAAGATTATCTACGATTGAAAAGAATCAGTTCTTACATAAAGTATCAGGAATGAAGTTCTGGATAAAGAGCAAATCCCTGGGAAGCCACAGATAGGACTTGGCCTCTGTCTACTTCTTACCTGAATCTTATGCCATATTCTCTCCAATCATTCTGTTCTAGTTTCAGTAACTTTCTTGCTGACCTCACACCCATCATTCTCTTTTGGGCCACAGGGCCTTTGCTCATGTTCTTCCCTCTGCCTGGAATATTCTCCAGGCCTCTATCCTACCACTGATGCCTATTCATCCTTTAGATCTCAGCTCATGAGTGGCTTCCTTGGGGAAGCCTTCCCTGACCTCACAGTCCATGTAACAGCCCCTCCGTTGCAGCACCTTCACAGCTCACAAATTCACGAGAGTGTTTGCATGTACCTGATTCATTCTCATCTCCTTCATCAGCTCCTAAGGGAATGACTATGCCTCCTTCAATTGACATTGTATTTCCAAGACTACCACCAGCCCTAGTAAATGTTCAATAAGTACTTATTAGAATAAATGATGAATATTAATTGTTCAATATATATTTGAGATTTTTTTTTGAATGGGGCAAAACATTACTAGGGCTGTAAAGTTACCAACACAATTCTTGTTGAATCAACTGCATCTCAAATTCCCTCCTAGCCCAGTACAATTGCTTGGTCATCAGGAGACAAGGTCCTAGATCTTGGATTTTTTTTTTTGGGGGGGGGGCGGCTGAAGAATGGAAGTGGGTGGCAGGGAGAGAAGGACATCAGATAGCAAAACTTTTAATTCTGATAAACAAAATTAAACAAACAAAAGCAACATAGACATGTTCATTGTTCTATAATTTTGTAAAAGAAATGATTTTAACATCTAAAAATAGGAAGGACATAACTTCAGAAAATAATCATCACAGCCCTTCCCAGGCAGGGACAGTTGGTGTCTTTATAATGACACTTTGCTACAGAAAACTGCCACTGGTGCATGGATTTGAATTTTGTCTCCAATACTTCCTGTGTGACCTTGGGTAAGAACTTCACCTCTCTGCTCCTCACTGCCTCCTTCTTGGAGGGGTTGTGAGAGTTAAATGATTTAACCTATATAAAGCCTTTAGCACACTCCATACACTACAGAGGCTAATGCAGATATAGCACCTTGGTCATTCACTAGACAACAGCGCCACCTGGTGGCTCTTCATCCCAGAGTTACTGCAGAGCAATCATGAGCCATCCACAGGCAGTGAGGCTGAGGCAGAGGCAGGGAGAAAAGCCATAAATATTGGTGGAATCATAAAACCCAGATCTTTCTAGCTTCCTAAGGTGAGAAAATGAAATCTCTCCCCCTGGCCCCTCAACCATGAGGTCTGCTTTATTTGGGTTGGGGAGCTGTCTATTCACTGGGGCTGACAGGAAAGTGGGGCCTTGGCACAGTCACCCACTGGGTAGGGGCTAGGTATGGGGTCACTGTCAGCAGCAGCCCTCCCTGCCTCTTGCTTTCCTGATAGTTCTGAAGAATGAAAAAGAAATAGCAAACTGAGGAAGCTTTTTTATGATGTTCACAAACATCGTAAGTTCTGTGCTCTCACTGATAAGGGTCTTACATTGTTGGAGCCATTCGCCACTGGAAACAGCCCTGTGTCTTCAGAAAAGTCCTTTCAGGAGAGTCTGTTAGAGCTGAAAGCAGACTTGAGCACTCTCTCTTTTCATATTTCTTCCCCAGTGAGAGAGATTGACACTGGCTTTCCTTTCTTGCCTCTGCTTACAGATTTTCATTTACCCTGTGAACCTGGGAAGGAACCTTACTTGGCAAAAGACAGGGAAGGTTGGCTCTGGGAGTAGGTAGGCTTGTGTTTGAAACTTTGTTCTGACACTTGCTGACTATGTGACCATGGGCAAGTCACTGTGTCTCCTTGAACTTGTTTCTGCATCTATAAACTAAGAACGATAATATTATACCCCTCAGGGATTTAATGTAAGATTTGAGTGTGCTAATCTACCCCACAATCTCAGATGCCTGCAGGGGGCAGACAGACATGATTAATGAGAAAAATGGGTCAAGTAGAGGGCACAGGGAGTGGTGAGGACCAGGAGCACAAACACCAAGTAACAGGGACAGCTGCTAGTCAGCATCATCTGATCCAGCGCACTCATGTCTTTGATCCAGGGTATTACAGAAACCTCAAAATACCAGAATTTGGCAGTTTTGCTTGAGTCCATGGGTGGGCTTTGGCACTGCTGGGCCTACCTGACCTGAGAGAATAGATTTGGTTAGGAATAAAATGTGGTAAAAAGAAATGTAAGTCCAGTACTGCCAGTTTTTTTCAAATGTTACAGAGAAACAATCATCTCTCTTTTTTTAATGCTGGCATCAAACATTGAAAAAATAATACACCATGATTCAGACAAAATCCTGTGTTAGCTTGTGACCTTGGGCAAGTCTCTCAACATGTCTGGGCTCTATTTCTTCATGAATAAGGAGGGTAAGAATATACCTAGCTCCTGACCTTAGCAATTTGTATAAATTACTTAATTTAACCTTTCCCTCAACATGATAAAGAGGTGTTACTATTATCCTTTGTTTTACAGATGAGAAAACAGAGAGGTACACAGGAGTTGAGTAACTTGCCCAGAATCCCAAAGCTAGTAAGTGGCAGGGCTATTGTGAAGCTTTAGAAGGAAATGCATGCGAAGTGCTCAGTGAATAACAGTTATTGTTGTGTCATTATTATTATTATTACTATTATTAACACAAATGGTTCAAGGTCAGTTCTCATACTTGATTTGATGGTCAGAGTATGTCCCTAGACCAGCCGTGGGCAAACTACGGCCCGCGGGCCGGATGTGGCCCCTTTGAAATGAATAAAACTATTGAAAAAAAAGACTGTACCCTTTTATGTAATGATGTTTACTTTGAATTTATATTAGTTCACACAAACACTCCAGCCATGCTTTTGTTCCGGCCCTCCGGTCCAGTTTAAGAACCCATTGTGGCCCTCGAGTCAAAAAGTTTGCCCACCCCTGCCCTAGACTTTGAGCTGTCAGACAAAGATGAGGGCTAGCTCTAAATTATGTGGTAGGTATTTTTGCAGGTAGCTCTTGGACTAATTAATAGTTCATTTTTACATAGGCACTGAGCCACCCTGCCTTTGGGTTTCCTGCGATGATAATTAGATTTAGACCCCTGGTACAGTCAATAGATTATCATCTCAGGGTGACCAAGCCAATCATGACCTGCAATTTACAGCCTGAGTTATTTTCAAATCAATATAGATTTGCTCTTCATCAAGTGGGCTGTAAAGTATGGGTGACAGATGACCCTATAAAGCGGTTGACATAGGAGTGGAAAAATTGCAGAGGCCTGGAGAGGGGCCAGGTTATTAGGGGAGAGATGAAGTAGAAAGTGGAGGAGGCCGACCTCTGGTTAGTAGGCTGTGGTAAGAGCTGGCCACTGTTACCATTGGGACCTATATAGGACAGAGTCTTATTGAGAGAGTAGATTTGATTGGCAGAGAGTGAAGTGTGTTAGAAAGAGAACAAGTTTTGGAGATGGGTAGAAATGGATTGGTATTTTTGCTGTGCAATTTCCTATCGTACTATGGGAAATTGGACTCTAGTCCCTGATACTTGGTTTTCTCATCTGTAAAATGGACAATAATTTATTGCTCAGATGAAGATGAAATGAGTCTATATTTGCAAAACACTTGTTTTTTTGTTGTTTTTTTTCAATGCAAACTATCAAGTTCCAGTGTTAAGAGGCTGTGTAGTCAGATGGACCTAGGGTCAAGTCCTACTTCTTTCACTTCCAAGCTCTCAGAGTAATTTTGCATTAAGTCACTTGATTACTTTGAGCTTTAGTTCCCTTATATTGGACTAACAATAGAAGCCCCTGTTTAAGACAGTTGTGATCATTATGTTAGATAATGCACATAAAGATAAATTAGTACCATCCACAGAGGGTGAGCTCAGCAAGAAGAGGGCATCATTTCTGTCCATGTGAATTTTATCCATTCCATACTGTACACAAAGGGGGCTCTCATGGAACACTGACTCAACTGCATGATGACTGAAACGTGTTCTTCAAGAAACAGATCATATCCTCAAACTGGGTAATTTGAGGAGAGTTTAATTTAAAAAATTAATGACACTAAAAACATATTTAAATAATAAAACAGCTGTTAAAATTACACATGCATGCATTATTTACAAACATGTCAATGGGGCATTGGAAAACCAACATGGGACAGTGCTAAAGACAGTGCCGTGCTAGGGAGGAGCCATTTCCATCTTGGAATAGACAAGTTGATTGTTTCAGCACTTCTCTTCCTAAGCCATGTGGTCTTGCTGTGCCTGCCTCCAAATAAAATGGAAGAATGAACATCCATACCATTTGACCATGTGACTTGCTAAGGCCAACAGATTATGAAGCAGAAAGAAATATTAGCTGAGGCTAGAAATGTGCTTGTGTGGCTTGGCTCACCCTCTTGTATGTCTGTCATTTGCCATGAGAGAAGAATGTGCTCCAGGAATCAAGAAGGAAACTCATGAAGCAAATCTGAACCCAACTGGCAGTTTGGATCAAGATCAGCTGAACCCAATAGTAACAGAGGTGACCTACAGATCTGAGAAGAAAACTAAATGTTTGCTCCAGTAGCTGCAGAGATTTTAAGGTTGTTTAAATGCATGCCTCTTGATTAGGAGGAGCAGAGGGAGGGGCAGGTACTAGATTGGGCTGCATAATAGAAGCTGTGACCTCAGGAGAGGGAAGAGATGGCTCACCTATACCCTCTTCCCTCCTTCTGTTTCCTATTGGTACCTCCCATAGGCTGAACTTGACTAGAAGTGTAGAGCAAGAGATCCACTGGTAGAGCCATTCAAGATCAGGCCCCTGGCACAGCACATGGAGAAGGTGGAGAATGGATGTTGACAGAATAGGAATTAGTCAGTACAATTAAAGAGGGAGAATAATATGTGGGGCTCTTAAATTAACAAAGTACTGTGCTAAGGGCTTTGCACAGGGAGCCCCATCCACCTGTAGCCCTTTGGGTACCTTCTTCCCAATTCTCTCCTTGGTCTCCTTGGTTTTCTCTTGTTCTGTCTGGTGATCAGGAACATTCTCTGGGATCTCAGTGGAGTTATCCAGCAGGGCCTCCTCAAACAATCTGACAATTCTTTCAGATTTCCCCCTCCCCAATCCATCAGCCAAAAAAGAGGTGTCTCCATGATTATTATGGTTAGGAGGGAGATTTCAGGGGATGCATTTTATTTCCATCTTTTATTTAGCAAAACCATGTGTTCCAATGTATTGTTCCCAAGAGTCCCAGGCCTCCCTTTCCTTGGGAAGCAGCAGTTGGGCACACAAGTCCAAGCAAGAGTTTTGAAGTTAGAGCCAAGTGGTTATAAAGCCCAACTTCCCCTCTTATCAGCTGGTTGACCTTGAGCAGATAATTTCACCTGATTTCTGAACTGCTGGGGTCCGACCCCAGCAGGTCCAGGGGTCCCCAAAGGTGTGGACGGAGTCGGCGAAGAAGGAATGACACGAAGACAGCGTTCAGTTGATCAGCAGCCTAGCCAGGATCTCTAGCCAAGTTCTGGTCAGGATCTCCAGAGAAGTTCTGGTTAGGATCTCCAGCCAGGTTCTGTGTCCATGTTCTCTTGCTAGGTTCTCCAGCCAGGTTCAGTCGCCAGGTTCTGTCCAGGTTCTCTAGCCACGTTCTCTTGCTAGGTTCTTCAGCCAGGTTCTGTAGCCAGCATCTCCAGCCAAGTTCTGTCTAGGTCTTCTAGCCAAGTTCTGTGTTCGGTTCTCTCACTAGGTTCTGTCTCTAGGTTCTGTGTCCTGTTGTCTTGTTACATCTGTCTTTATATAAGGGGTTTTATTCCCTCCCTAACTTCAGGGGAAAATCCCTACCTGGGGAAACAAGCTTTCTCAGAGAGGTGACCTTGGTTAAAACACATAGTGCCAAGAAGATGAGCAAACATATTAAGAACAGTATGCCATATATGCCAGGTCCCTTGAAACAGCAAGGATGGACTGGCTCCCGGCACTGAACCGGTGGAGATAATCAGCACCAGGCTCTGGGGTCACTTTGAGGATTAAATGGGATATACATTAATGCCCTTAGCATAGTACATTGTTAATGCTCATTAAACTAGTATTGTTACTGCAAACTTCCTAAATGATGTCAGGATGACTCTGGAATGGTGCTGGGGTGGCACAGAATGCCTAGTTCAGCAGTTGCCAACCAGTGGTCCTAGGACCACTGGTGATCTGTGAGGTTTGAAAGGTTGGCAACCACTGGTGATCTGTGAGGTCTGAAAGGTTGGCGACCACTGATCTAGTTGATGCCACAGGATCTGGTTACCCATGCCTGGTATTGGAAGGCCCATACACAGTTCTTCTGTCAGCGAGATTCCATCAGTTCTTGAAAAAGCAAAATTTCTCTCATTCCCAGGCAGGTAGGAGCTGAAGCATCCTTTAGCCTTTCAGGGCTCTGGGCTCCACTGGGCAGGGAATTTCTCCTAAGATAGGCCTGTTAGTGGTCTAGTGCTATCCACCTATCAAGCAGCCAATCAGCTTACTCCATTCTAGAATTATAGGTATCTGTCAAACCCTTTGATATCCTGTAATTTATGAATTCTTAAGATTGAATATATTTGTATGGGGATCAATTTTATGATGAATTTAAACCTGTCTGAATTATACACACACACGCGCACACACAATATGACTGCAGAGGAAAAGTAGAGAATGTCTAGGAAGCTATAACTATTAGATGGGAGAGAAGTTATTGTCTGTTTCCATAAACCTATCGCACACCCACCCCCATTCACCACCAACCCAGCTACAGACTCATCTCTTCACCCACCACCCACTCCATATGACATCTAATACCCACCCTATTTTCCATCCATTTATTTCTCCACACATGCATCCTCTTTCAAACCCATCCATCCACCACATTCATCCACTAACCATAGTTATCCATCTATCCATCCATCATCCATTCACTCACCACCCACTCAGTCCACCATCCCAGTCATCTATCTATTCATCCATTTATTCCATCCACCCATGTAGTCATCCATTCACTCCCGACTAACACCATCCACCCATCCATCCATCCATCCACCAATTATTGACCTTTATCCATCCATTTGGCAAACATTCATTAGTTAGCCATAATGTGCCAAAACTTATATTATGGACCTGAGATACATATGAATAAGACATGACTCCTTTTCCCAAGTACTTCTCTATCCAATGTGCAAAAGATATACTCCAAAATAAAAATGACAAAATACAACTCAGCTAAGTTTTAATAAGAAGGCAGCATTTTGACCAACTTGACTTTGATCTGGGCCCTGCCACTTGCTAGATGGATATCCTTGTACCAACCACAACACTTAATTAAGCCTCAGTTTTCTCATCTGTTAAGGAGGAATAATAATTGCATTTACTTCAGAGGATCATGGTGAACACTAAACAAGTTAATGTTAAGTTAATATGTTGTAAGAGGATCACATAACAAATAACTGCAGACATCCTTTAGGAATTGAGAGTAGCCCCAACTGACAACCACCAAGACAATGGGAACCTCAGCCACAACTGTGAGGAATTAAATTCTGACAACAACCATCTGAACTTGGAAAGAGATGCTGAGCTCCAGAAAAGAGCCCACAAACACCTTGTGGTAGCATTGAGAAGACCCAGCTAAGCTCTGCCTGGACTACTCAATTCACAGAAACTGGGAGATATTGTGTGTTATTTTAAGCCACTCAATTTGATGTAATATATGATGTGGTAATATTTAACTAAGATATTAAGTAACTTTCCCAATCCCCTAAGTGATAGAGCCAGGGTTCATAATAACTATGAGTCAGAGGAGTTAAGACGAAAATGATTTTCTAATTAGCACTCAATTGACTAGAAAATTCAATTAATCAAAATCTCTAATTCCTGAACCTTATGATTAGTGAGGGATTTCTGAATTTGAAATCAAGTTTTTCATGGCATTTGGGGCAAACACCATGGATGCCCTAAGGCTGCTGGAGAAATGCAGTGAATGTAGAGTTGGGTCTGATTCAGATAGCCAAGTTCCCATTTTGAAAATGTGATGGGGATTTCTTACTGAGCAGCATACATCTGACTTTATGCCTCTGCTCTATTTCTCAGGCCTTTACACTGAAACCCGAGGCTAAATAGGGATGATTGCTGGTTTTCCTTTATTTCACTTTACCAATGTCCCAGGCTGCCTCCATCTTAGTGATACCTAAGAGGTGACTAAGGTAACGCAGCCTGTTACATCTGGAAGTTATTTTTAGCAAGTTCCTGTATAAAATCCTCTTCTCCTATTTTAGGAAGAAGTCTGCTTCCTTGATGCATTTTCTGGTTGGTATATTGTTTTATGGTATCCTTGCTGTGCTGTGTTGTAACTCAGGAGGCTCTCAGAACTTGTTGTGATTGACATGGGACCTTACTTAGTAGTTTGAAAAACAATCTCTTCTTTGCCTTTCTTAGGCTACCATTCATTATGTGATCTTAGAGAGAACCAGGCTACTTTCTGACCAAGAAAATATCTTTGGTTTACTCTATGTTCAATTCAAAAATAGCTGGAAACTATTTTTTTGTTTCTTTACCACATTTCCAAAGACATTTGAATTGATAGATAGAAGACAAGAACTAGATAATGTGAGATGCAGAAACAGTGAGCAGTGTAGTGGGGTAACTCTAGATAGGCAGCCCCAAAATGGCTGCACACAACATCTGAGAGCAATTTGTACCTGAATCCATCCAAGTGGACCCAGAGCCAACACAACCAGTGGTGGGCTTCAGATCACACCAGAGCTTGACCCAACTAGCCACACAAGTGACACATCCAGCAAAAGAATCCAGCAAGCACTAGACCCTGCTGGGAACAACTCCACGTCAGGTGGCAGTCCCTGCACATCTCATACATGGTGATTGTAGTTTCCCCTTATGGCCACCAAGCCTGAAGGATTAATTCCACTAAAGGCCAACAGCATTCATCTAAAAAGTAACTACAATGGGGATCGAACATAAGCCAAAAGAAATATTCCTAGAGCACAGAGCATAGGTGATCTGGAAAATTGTGCCACTGAGCCCAACATGACACCTTGAGACTCCACCCACACAGCAGCCTGCACACTGTGGTTAGGTTGAGCCTCAGCCAGTCAGTCTGTGGGTCAATCCTACCCACAAACGGGCCAACAGCAATCAAGACCCAATTATAACAGAAGGGCCCACATAATTCACACTAGGGACATTCCTAGAGCACCCAGCTCATTAACTTAAGGAGATATCTATCCCTTGCTCATTTTCTTCTCCTGGAGCCCCTATGATGCAGATGTTATGTTTCTTATTGTCCTAGAGTTCCCTTAAACTATCTTTGTTCCTTTTTATTCTCTTTTATTTTTGTTGCTCTATTGGGTGTGTTTTTTCTACCTTGTCTTCCAAAATGCTGATTTTATCCTCTGCTTCATCTAGCCTACTTTTAATTCCTTCCAGTGTATTCTTGATGCCAGATATGATATTCTTCATTTCGGACTGCTTCTTATCCACGGTTTCTATGCCTTTTTAATGCTGAGGTAGTTCCCACTAAGTTCCTTATAGTTCTCAATAACCATTATTTTGACTCTATGTCTGATAGAAAACATGTTTGCAGAGATAATGATAGAAAACCTCCCTAGCCTGGTAAAAGAAAAAGACACACAAGTTAGGAAGCACAGAATATACCAATCAAAATGTCAGACTATACCATGAGTCCCAATCAAAATTAATACAAAGAGACCTATGCCAAGACACATCATAATTCAAATGCTAAGGTTAAAGACAAAGAACCTTAAAGGCAGCAAGCGAGTGACAGTTAATTACCTACACGGGAACTCCCATAAGGAGCAAAAAACACACAAAAAAACAGAAACACTTCAAGCCAGAAGTCATTGGCATGAAGTATTTATTCAAAGTAATGAAAAGCAAGCACCTGCAACCAAAACTGCTCTATCCAGGAAATTATCATTTAAAATTGAAGGCAAAATAATGTAATTCCCAGATAAAGGAAGGCTAAAGGAGTTCAGTACCACTGAAGCAGCATTGCAAGAAATGCTAAAAGGACTGATTTAAGAAGAAGAAATAGAGTGAGAGAATTTAACATAGGCATAAAGAGAAAAAAAAGGCTCAACATCACTAATCATGAGAGATGCAAATTAAAACCACAATGAGCTATCACCTCACACCTTTCAGAATGATTACCATCAGTAAATCAATAAACAAGTGCTGGAAAGGATGTGGAGAAAAGGGAACCCTATAGCACTGTTGGTGAGAATGCACACTGGTGTAGCAACTATAGAAAACAGTATGGAATTTCCTCAAAAAATTAAAAATGGAACTGATAGAAAATATGTTCAAACATTACAACAGGGGGATGTACATAACCAACAAGGAACATTCCTGGAGCATGGAGCTCAGGTGATCTGGAAGATAATACTATTGAACCCAACAAAACACCTTCATCATAATGCCATCAGGACAAGTTTGGGAGTCATAGCAGATACACCTAATACACAGAGACAAAATGGGAGGAGAAAGAAATATGCTCCCAAATGAAAGAATATGAGAGGTCCTCAGTAAAAGAATTAAGTAAAATGGAAGTAACCAAAATACTACGTATGTTCGAGGACCTTAGGGGAAGAATGGATGATCTCATTAAGATTGTACACAAAGAGATAGTAAGCATTAAAAAAAATACATAGTAACAATAAAAAAAGCCGGTCAGGGATAAAGAATATCTGTAATGAAGAACACACTAAAATGGAATCAATAGCAAGTTAGATGAAGCAGAGGATCAGCAATTTAGAGGACAAGATAACAGTAAGCATCTAAGCAGAGCATAAAATAAAAAGAGAATTTAAAAAAGTAAGGAAAGTCTAAGGGACCTCTGGGACACAATCAAGTATAATAACATTTGCATCAAAGGGATACCAGAAGGAAAAGAGAGTGAGCAAGAAATAGAAAAGCTGTTTGAAGAAATAATGGTAGAAAATTTCCCTAACCTGGTGAAGGAAAAGTCACACCCCACTGTCATCAATGGATAGAACTTTCAGACAAAAATATCAAAAAGGCAACAATTACCTTAAATAACACACTGGATCAAATGGATTTAATTGATAGTTACAGAAAATTTCATTCCAAAGCAACATGTACATTTTTCTCAAGTGCACATGGAACATTCTCAAAGATAGACTACATGTTAGGACACAAAATAAGCCAACAAATTCCCAATGACTGAAATTATATCAAGCATCTTCCCTGACAACAATAATATGAAACTAGAAGTCAATTACAATAAAAAAAAAACCTGAAAGTATTCAAACACATAAGCTAAATAGTATGTCACTAAACAATAATAGGTTAACAATTAGGTCAAGGAAGAAAAAAATACCTGGAAACAAATGAAAATGAACAACCCCAAATCTATGGGACACAGCGAAAGCAGTCCTGAGAGGGAAGTTCATAGCATTACAGGCCTACTTCAAAAAAAAGTCTCAATAAACAATCTAACCCTACAACTAAAAGAACTAGAAAAAGAACAAAAAATAAAGCCCAGAATAAGTAAAAGGAAGGAAATAATGATCAAAGCAGAAATAAATGGCATAGAGACTTAAAAAGAAACAATACAGAGTATCAATGAGCTCTAGCCAGTGTGGCTCAGCTGGTTGGAGCGCTGGCCCCTAAGCTGAAAGGTTGTGAGATCGATTCCTGATCAGGGTGTATAGGAAGGCAATTGATTAATGTTTCTCTCTCCCCTCCCCTCCCCTCCCCTTCCCTCCTCTCTCTCTCTCTCTCTCTCTCCCTCTTCCTCTTCTTCTTCCTCCTCCTCCTCCTCCTCCTCTGCCTTCTTCTTCTTCTTCTTCCCCTCCTCTCTCTCTCTCTCTCTCTCTCTCTCTCTCAGCAATGAGCATGTCCTGAAATGAGAATTTAAAAAATAAGATCAATGAAACCAAGAGCTGGTTCCTTCAAGAGATCAAGATTGAAAAACCTTAAACCAGACTTAAGAAAAAAAAGAAAGGGCCCATATAAATAAAATCAGAAACAAAACAGAAGTAACAACTGACAGCACAGAAATGCAAAAAATAGTAAGAAAATACTATGAACAACTATATGCCAACAAATTGGACATCCTGGGAGAAATTGATAAATTCCTAGAAACATACAATCTTCCAAAACTCAATCAGGAAGAATCAGAAAACCTGAACAGACCAATTACAACTAACGAAATTGAAGCAATTTAAAAAACAAAAACAAAAACAAACTCCCAGCAAATAAAAGTCCTGGACCAAATGGCTTCACGGGCAAATTTTACCAAACATTCAAAGACAAACTAATACCTATCCTTCTCAAACTATTCAAAAAAATTCAAGAGGAGGGGAGACTCCCAAGCTCATTTTACAAGGCCAGCATTATCCTACAATCAAAACCAGATAAAGACACTACTAAGAAAGAAAATTATAGGCCAATATCCATGATGAACACAGATGCTAAAATCCTCAACAAAATATTAGTAAAGCAAATCTAGCAACACATTAAAAAGAACATACATCATGATCAAGTCAGATTTATTTTAGGGATGTAAGATTGGTACAATATTTGCAAATCAATAAATATTACATATCACATAAACAAAATGAAGGATAAAAATCACATGACTATATCAATAGATGCAGAAAAAACATTTGATAAAATCCAGCACCCATTTGTGCTAAAACCTCTCAGCAAAATGGTAATAGAGGGATAATACCTCAACAAAATGAAGGCCATATTTGACAACCCACAGCCAACGTAATATTCAATGGCCAAACACTGCAAGCATTTACCTTAAGATTGGGAACAAGTAAAGGACGTACGCTTTCACCACTCTAATCAGACAATAAAGAAGAAATAAAAGGGATCCACATTGGAAAGGAGGAAATAAAACTGCCACGTGCAGATGACATAGAAAAACTCAAAGATTCCACCAAAAAACTACTAGATCTAATAAATGAATTCAGCAAAGTAGCAGGATACAAAATTAATATTCATAAATTGGTGGCATCAGAAAGAGAATTAAGACAACAATCCCATTTACTATTGCAACAACAAAAAATAAAGTGCCTAAGAATAAATTTAACCAAGGAGGTAAAAGACCTATACTTGGAAAATTGTAAGATACTGAAGAAAGAAACTGAGGAAGATACAAATAAGTGGATCTTATTTGTATCTTGAATTGAAAGAATTAACA